CCCACCGGAGTTATTTCTTGCGGCCACCAAGCTCCCCTCCTGCCCAGCACGCTGTGTCCCCGCTCTTCTGCCTACCTCCAGGTGCTTCCTGCCGCCAAACAGCTGTTGGGCTGTGCTTAGCACTTTCCAAGCTGCTAGCACTTTCCAAGAAGGAGCAGGGAGCGGAGGCGGGGGCTTTTGTATCTTTATATGAAAAGGTGTCAGTGATGTGGCCCTTGAGCCAATGTACTAGTCCTCATGTGGCCCTCAAGGTGATTTAAGTTTGAGATCCCTGCTCTGTACCATGAGAGGAAAAGAATTACCCTCACACAGATCTGATCTCAAACTCATTAGCTTTTAAATACATTTAGCATGAATTGGTAGTATATTATTTTCTTGGAGAAAACTTGTTTGTATGGTTTGCTTAATACCTTTCTTTCGTTGGATTTTGTTTTTCCCAGGTGCTGCTTACAAATATTTTCTGCACAGAGGCATATTTTAAAAATAATTATGCCATGACGGAGTTAGAAAAATGTAAGTTCTCTAGTAGTGGGAAGGATAAACTTAATGTGACTAGAACAACCTATACGCAAGGACCTAACATGGGTTATAAGGGTGTTGAATGCACATAAGCGGCTTCACTTGAGCTTAGGGTGGGTGTCACCGGATGGCACTGTTACAGTTTCAGAGGTTCTTAAGATGCCAGTACTATTACAAGAAATACTGCTTTGGTTTTGTGATGTAGGGTTTTTTTAGGTGGGAGGCGTTGCTCCATAGGAACAGGGGACTGATGGTTTGGCTGAGGATTCTGAAAGCCCAAAAGTCGTCAAACTGCATACAGGCAATTCCGTTTAAGTGTTAAAAACAAATTGCCCTAATGTACCCAGACACCTACCATTTGGCAGAGGGACAACAATATTTATACAGAAGTTGTCTTAACTTCCCCTCTCATTGGTAATACAAATATCCAATACCCCCATACGCAGAATTCTTAGGGGAAAACTGAGTGCCTTCTTCAAGGCCTGGCCCAACTTCCTCTCTTGGGATCAGCTGATTTCTGTAACATGCCTATGCATTGTTAGGAAGGAAAAAGGCCACAGATGCTGCTATTGAACCAGTTAATAATATAGAATAGTGGTTACTTAAGTGGTACAGCAGATACAGTAACTCCTGGCTTAATGTTGTAGTTATGGTTCTGAAAAATGCAACGTTAAGCGAATCCAATTTCCCCATAAGAATTAATGTAAATTGGGAGAGGCGGGGTTAGATTTCAGGGAATTTTTTTTCACCAGCCAAAAAACTATATTTTATATACACACGCAGTATAAGTTTTAAACCATTTAATACGGTACACAGCAATAACGATTGTGAAGCTTGGTTGAGGTGGTGAAGTCAGAGGGGGGGATATTTCCCAGGGAATGCCTTACTGCTAAATGATGAACTAGCACTTGGCTGAGCCCTCAAGAGTTAACACATTGTTGTTAATGTAGCCTCACATTCTACAATGCAGCACGAATGGAGGGAGGGGAGACAGCGACCCACACTCTGTATGTGGGAGACAGATGTGCATTGCTCCTTTTAAGTACGCTGACCCCACTCTAAGTACATTGACCTTTTTAAAAAAAAAAAAAAAAAAATTCAGGAAGTTGAGAAAGCAGCTGCAGCCAGCAAGCTCTCTCCATCCTGAGCCCTGTCCTGTCCCCACCCTGATGTATATGGAGAAGGGATAAGCAGGGGGACACCCCTGCACAGCAAGCAGGAGGCTCCTGGGAGCACTAAAAGAGGAAGGGGCAGTTGCTGCACAGGGAACTTAGGGGAACGGGGAGCTGATGTCCACCCTGGCTCCACGCCCCCACCAGCTAGCTGCAACAGGCTGCTCTTCCTGCAAGCAGTGGACAAAGCAGGTGGCTGCCAAACAATGTTATAAGGGAGCATTGCACAACTTTAAATGAGCATGTTCCCTAATTGATCAGCAATGTAACAACAAAACAACATTAACCAGGACAACTTTAAGTGTGGAGTTACTGTACATTTAGAAACAGACTGCTCTGCTCTACCCCATAATAAATGCAATTTAGGAAAGCTCAAACCTGTCCCTAAAGTCTTGAAATATTAGTCAAAACTGCTGTTTCTTAGACTTCTTCCTATGCTGGCAGAATAGATGTTTGGACTCTTCAGACTTTTTGCAAATAAATGTACACTAGTGTCCTGGATTTAACTATTGTTTTGCTTTCTTCCCATCCCCACCATAGATTCTGCTGAAAACCTGGATGACAGTATTAAAAAAGTTGCACAGCAGGTGCTGGAAAAGAGAGCCTATATCTGTTCTCATCCACTAGAGAGAACAGTCTAATCACATTTAACAGGTAGCCCATTAACCTGTGGGTAAATGAAGAAAATTTAGTTTTTGTACAAATATTTTTTATCAGCTGCCAAATGTAATTGTAATCTTGTAAAATAAAACTTCTTCTCCCACCACTGTGGGAGAGAGACTAAAAGAGAAACAAGTGATGCTCATTCAGCTATGGGTATTTACATGAAATGTCCAATAAAGAAAACTTTTTACAACCTCAATGTAGCCCAAGCACTTATTGGGAGGAAAAAATAGCAAATAGAGCCAGGCCTTTCATCACTGGCCCAATATTTATCGCTGCTGCCTATTTTCTCATCCTTGGCTCCAGAAAGTATTACAGGAACGAAAATGTCACTTTCCAGCCACTGTCGTACAAATTAGAGTTGTGTAACATTTAAGAATAATGAACTTTTCAAACTTGTAGTTGGCATGTTTAAAAAAAAAATCAATAAGTAAAGCAGGTAACACACACACTCTCTCTCTCACTCACATCTGTAAGTGGATGAACAAACATTTCACCATTAGCAAAAAGTTTGTTCAAATGATGGGTGTATAATAATTATCTCTCAAAGTGATAACTATGGCCATGTGCTGTATGCTCCTGCTGGGAACACAGGGATGGCCCATCAGTCAAAATACTGATGTAGGTTTCAGGAGAATGCTTACTTAATAGTTCCTTTGTAAAAACAAATGGTAAGTGACTTGTATTGGTGGTTTAGGGCCTTGTACTCAAAACTTAGAGGGGAGAAAGAAACAGGCAACCCTTGCCGTTTGGGTTTCAGAGAATTCTAATTTAGCTCCCTCTCTGCCGGTTATCATTTTCCCTATGTATAAAGGGAAATTGCTTGGGAATCTAGGGAGAGGTAATTTTCTGCAGCATTTTGGTGTGGGGGAAGGTTCTATAAAGGTCAGCACCTCCTTTTTCCTTGACCCCTTAAGGAGGATTGATTTAATCTCAGGGCATTAATATCTGAAAGGCTGATAGCCTGTGTAATGGTTTCAGTGCCTATGTCTACACTTTGTGTTGTAGATATAAATTCTGACATACATAGGATAGCTAGCCCCTCAGAGTGTACTATATTTGTAGCAGATTAGCTCAATCACAGCTAAGGCTTGTAGCTCTCCTGAAGCTAGAATTTACATCTCTACTTTAGGCATGCCTACAGTCCATCCCCTCTTTATTTTAGTTGCTACCTAATTACCTGACTGTTGAGTGGCATCTTGCTGTAGCAGAAGGGTTGTATCCTCCCCTCCCTTCTCCGGTCTTTTCCTCTTGTAAAGAAAGGAATGTTCATAACAAAGTAAACTGGAATGGAAAAAATAAACATGCTAAGTATATATTTGTCTTCACAAACACTGGATTATATCTGATAAAGGATTTAATTTTCTGTAAATGTGCATATTGCTATGCTTATTATATTCCATAGGAACTTGTACAATACAGTAAATTGGTTGTTAAAACCACTAATTTTAAGCCCTTAAGCACACTACACAGTGAAGTCTTTCCCCTCCAAAGATTTTTTTTGGGTCCCTCGATAAATGCCATTAATTTTCCAGTCAGATGATTGTACTCATGGTAGGATCCTGTAATACTAGAAAAGCTGTTTTAACATCTATTAGTATGTCCTCCTTCCCTTTGCTTACTCAGTACCAAACACTTTTTCAGCTACTATTGATTCCTCACTTTCTACACATGTAGTATGCAGAAAACTAGCATTGCAGAGTTATGGCAGCATTGTGCCTCATAGGTGCTGATTTATAAATTGCTTGTAAAAAAGAACCATCTCAAAGTTACACAAGTGAAGCACTCCTTGACAGTATTGGATAAGTATTCTTAAAGGGCTGAATAGTCATCAGTAACTAAACAATTGTTTTAGATTCATGGATGTAGAATTATATTCAAATGAGTCACTGACTTTCTATAGTATGCAATCCAGCTGAGCTGAATTTGTTCCCTCTTCTAATCTCAAATAACCCCCTTGCAATCAGTGAAGTTTCTCTACTTGCTACACCAAGTGAATCAAACCGTGTTTAGCCAAGAATACTTAACATTACATCTTGGAATACTTATAGCACTCTTGATTTGGATAACAGAGAAATTTAAGACACACACTGTTTAATGGAACTGATACGTTTCTGTTTCTGCCAGTGGTCATATCCATAAAACACACCCTCATCGTTCGGTGGACAAATATATGCACTCATTTGTGTAGGTGTGGATATGAAATACCTCTCGGTATACAAGTACATAGCTATGTATATACATACACACCAAAATACTTATATACTGACAGCCATTACATATCCACACCTACACAAGCGAGTGCATGATCATGACAGCATTGGACATGGTATAGATATTTGAATGGAAGAATTCCAAGGAAAACCTTTGTGCTCAAGGAAGTTTGGAGTAAGCACAAGTTCCCTTCAGAGTTAGTACTGAAATGAAGCCCTCCACTATAGTGACAGACCAATATGCTCTTCTCGGTGATGCTGTTTTTAGCATGAGAATTAACATAATCTTGACCACTTTGGGTCATTAAAAAGCTTATGCAAGAGATGTAAAAAGCAACAAAGAGTCCTGTGGCATCTTAAAGGCTAACAGATGTATTGGAGCATAAGCTTCCGTGGGTGAATACCCACTTCATCAGACGCGTCTCACGAAGTGGGTATTCACCCACGAAAACTTATGCTCCAATACATCTGTTAGTCTTTAAGGTGCCATAGGACTCTTTGTTGCTTTTTACAGATCCAGACTAACACGGCTACCCCTCTGATACTATGCAAGAGATGGAGCATTACCCTACTATCCTTCCCAACTTTTGGGTAAATAGAATGTAATTACCCCAGTTACTTCTTGCATTTTTCCTCATTTCCTTTCTAAAAATTACTGTGCTGTACCCCCAAGTGCCTATATATTATGCCACTTCCTTGCCATTCTGTGCATCCTGACTAAGCTGCAAGTCAGCTGCTGCTACGAACTAAGTGGCTTACTTGAAGTCGGCTCCTTTCAGCTTTTCAAACATTCTGTGTTCCATGTCATGGCAGGGGACTATATTCCCATTCCACTTCAAGCTGTGCTGGTCTTCAAGACCTGGAACAAATCCATGGGTGGTGCTCCTCTTTCTGGTCAGGTCTGGGTAACTGCCACAGGCAGGTATATGCTGCAACACGGACAGTGCTGGGATAGGCTAGGACAGTACAACAAAATTAAGCAGAAACCGGTTTCAGCCTAGGCAGTACTACTTTTGCTTATTGATTACCAATGCTATAAACAAACATTTATGTTTAACAACATGAGCATGTGCTAGTAAAGTAAATCCTGGGGCCAACATTTGAGCCCAGAAAAGCAGGTTTTCATGCTAAGGATGACTTCAGTAAAAGTAAAGGAAACATCTTTCTTCCTACACCGTTTTCGAAGTCTATAAAAGAGTTGAGGCACCCAAACACAGTTTGAAATAAGCTGTCAGCAACTACTGAAGTGTATGGGGAAAAAGCTGTTTTAGTCATTCCATACTGATAAGATGAGCACTCCTTATGCATGGAGAGCTTTGTGTGTTAGGACCTCTATGTGCTGGTTTCTGGCTAACACTGCTATAATTGCTCAGGTTCAAGAGTTTTAAAAAAGGGTAGGAGAAGGAAGTAGTCTGGCCTTGTGGTTCACAAGCCTGGGCCTAAATTATTTTGTCTTATGAACAAGCTGGCTGCAAGATCCGGAAAGCGCAGTTACTGAGCATTTGGGTGTCACGAGTCTGTTGTATTTCCATTTTACTGCAGCAAAGTCTCATGCATCATCAGGATTCAAACGCACAATGGTCTTATTTACACGGTTTTTGTCACTACTCTTTGCTGTCTAAACCCATGTAACCTTTTGTTGCATGGGCAGAAAAAAATGCATGCCATATTAACAATCACACAGAGAATCTGTAAAGTAGCTCAGTAAAGCTAACACACTTTAGAGAACGGAAGGAATGCCTGAATATTAGAGTGCATATTGTATCAGTTACCTCCTCTGTGTCAGTGACTATAATGGGTTCACGATGAGCAGTGAGCACCTGAGCTCTAGTATTCTAGCGGCAGCACCCAGACCTCAAAAGATTATGCGAAAACACTTCAAGGCGGCAGGAATCCTACCCAGCAAGACAATGAGAACGAGGACCGTGCTTAGAAGGGAAGAGTCCTGGGCACGCACTTAGCAAATGGCCTCGCGGCTGCTGCAATGCAAACTTTTAAAAAATACACAACTGGCCTGGCTAAGACACAGCCTAAGGGAATAGAATCAAAAAGAGGAAGGTCCGGAATAGAAAGTGGTGGAAACTACAAGTTGAATTAGGGACTTAGCTGGGGAGCAGAGAGATGTGAGCTCAGGTAAGGCTCTAAGGGGAAAATATGCAGCTAAAGAAACTAAGTTCAAGCTCTTCCATTAAAAAAGGCTACATGAAAACAGGCAGAAAAGAGTGACTTTTTATCATTATTACTGCATTTTCTTTGGAAAGGGAAAGACAAGCATTTTACAGCAACTTAGACTTTGGGTTGAAGTTGAGGGTGTGAACTGGGGGAAAAGAAGGGCCTGAGGGCAGGCTGCTGTGCGTTCCTCCAAAACAAAGGTCTTGCAACAAAACAGTCTAACATCAAAAAGGGATGTGGCGGATGTTTGCTTTAACTTTGCTTTGTAATAAACAATCTTGAAGGTTCCTGTGTTTTTGGTTTTTTTTCTCTCCAAAGTATTTGTAACCAAAGGGAAGCTCCACTTTGAGTTTTAAAGTTTACTTATTGTTTGGGTCAGTCATTTCTAAGCAGTCAGTAAGTGTCCGTCTGATTTATCTAACAAGAGACTAATTTGCTGCAGGCCGTCCATCTAGCTTTTCATATCAACTAATGCAAATCCCTGAATCTTACAGGGCTGGGAGTGTCTGTGTGGTTTCTTCAGTCAGCTCGCACTACAATGCTAAGAAAGCCCATACTGCATAATGGTTTTTAGGAGAGTATATGGTGGGAGAGTTGGTGTTTAGTTGATAGAAGTGGTGTGGGCCCATCATAGAATATTACAATTTATTTTGGTGCTGTTAAGCCAGCTGGCCAAAATCATATTCACCTTCTCCCCCAGGGTAACTAAAGTTTAACAACATTTTGCTGACTGGTAAATTATTCTGAGAGCTGGGTAAGGCTGAGCTAAGCGGGGCCATATGCCTCAAAGCTAGCAATGACTATTTAAATTATAATCTATGTCAACTAAATATCTTGATCTGCTAAATATGGAAATTGTTTTAAAATGCTGCAGACTGTCTATCAGCATGGCACTCATAGGTGCTGTTCCCAGGGGAACCCCAGAGAAATGCACATTACCTGCAGGATCATGGCTGGTCTCTTAAGTGAGAATTTCTCTGGTTCATCTTTGAGAAGTCCCTGTAGTTTGTCTAGCTGGGCACTGGCTTTTGGGCCACGTGGGGTTAGCTCGGCTGCTGTGGAGCACCTGTAAACTTTCAGCTTGGTGTCATCAAATACAGTTTTCTGAAGCTGACCAGAGTCTTCATGTAGCCAAGTGTCCACTGAAAAAAATAAAATAATGACAGTGAACCAGTGTTTAAGCAAGACTGGACTGATATTCAAGAAAAGGCATGCAATTACAGCTAAACAACCTTCCTCACAAGGTTTCATCTGTACCAGACCATAACGGGCAGAAGAGTAATGGCTAACACACATCCCAACAATGATCTGGATGCAAATTCATGCAGAAGATATGAAAATGAGTTTGGTCCTACTTGTTATTGTTCATATTCTGAACCTATCACACAATGGGAAGCACTCTATAGGCCCAGGACTTCAATAACAGGCATATTGCTAATCATATATGTAGCGCACTGGCAAAAACAGCACTAGAACTGACCCTAACAAGCACAGTCAGTCTCATTGGCACCTCTGCAAGTTCTAATCAGTCTTAACTATTTCTGTGGTGTAAGTGGAAAATACAGAAACAAACATCCAAGTGTAATTCCATGTTTCAAAACAGTTTATCAAAACCAAACATTAAGAAAACTTTCTGCTCAGTGTGTATTTGTGTCAGTGGAGTTTATGATACACCTGGGGGAGAATATAATGCCACGTATTGAATTTGGCCAAGAAGTTACAAATTTAAGCCTCCAATCCTCTCTGTTTCCAGTTAGCTAGTGGCGGAAGCAGTGTGTGGAGTGAGTCATGTAGCCTGGTGTTGGAGTCAAAAGATTTAACGGGATCTCTATGGGCACCTCCTCCGGCTTCTCTCTCTGGCATTAGTTTTGGTCTGAGAGATGGCTGGCTGCCTGACCTTTGCCTGAGTAACAAAAACAATTGTCACCATTCACTAAAAATAAAAAGGTCAGCCACTCAATGGAGCCATTTTATAGAGGAATAAGCCTTGAAAGAGCCCCACCGCTCTGCTGTATCATCTTTGTCCAAAGGCAGACCCTCAAGTTCAGGAACTAAGGCCAAGAACTGCTGGGCATGGGAGGCAATACCAGTGTTCCACAATATGAAAGTGGTGCAGCAGCTACGATCTGATACCTATTAGCCTAAAGCAAAACCTTGGACTAACGATGCCTCACTACATGTTTGCAAGCTATACACTTGCTGGAGTGTCTCACTGCACTTTTAACAGGTTAGATCCAGAAATCCATATACATAGGAGACCTGCATTAACAGCAGTTAACTCCCTACCAGACCCCTTCAGAGCTGTATCCCAGAGCAAGGTGTGGTATCCCAAAATCAGGGCCGGCTCCATGGTTTTTGCCGCCCCAAGACGCGAAAAAAAAAGCCGCGATCGCGATCTTCTTCAGCGGCAATTCGGCAGCAGGTCCTTCCCTCCAAGAGGGACAGGAACCCTCCGCTGAATTGCCGCCAAAGAGCCCAACGTGCCGCCCCCTTCCCCTTGGCCGCCCCAAGCACCTTCTTGCTCAGCTGGTGCCTGGAGCCGGCCCTGCGCCAAATCATCAGATGGGCAGGTTTTTTAATGCCTAGACTTAAATCACAGGCCCTGGCATCTAACCAGCAGGACCAGCTACCAGTGTTCAAGCCACAACCCAATCCCCAGATGCATTTAACACCAATGCACTAGCTATGCTAGGCCAGCTCCTTAGCCAAGTAACCAAGTGCTCAATTGGGGAGCTGCAACAAAAATAATCCGCCCTCCTCAGGATATGGACCGGTCACAGACACAGTCCACTGCTGCTGCAGCACAAGGCTAATGGACCTGCACAATTGTGAATGCACAAGCCCTGCCTGTTTCTCCCTCATCCCATCCCTCAAACTACTTGTGTGCCACATTCAAAGAGCCACTGCAGATCACAGGCCCATGGGCACAGTGATTGCAGTACCCTGGGCAGGATCTCAGCACCCTCACCTCATGCCTTGGCAGCAGAACCGGACTGGGCTCATTATGCCCAAAGCCCTTTGCAGGAGTTGCCCTACAATTTTACTGCAGAATTCCAACTTATTAGTCAGTCTACACCACACTGGAAGTTAGTTACGCATGCACTTTTACAGACAGAGGCATAATTTCAAGACCAGAGCAACTGAAAACAATCCTCATAAGTGTATGTTAGAACTCAAGTTGAAAAAAAAATGGGGTGGTTAGATATTGAAAATGGACCAGTTACCTGCCCGATGAGTAGCAGGAGCTGATGCTGGGAGGTAAACAGGTGGCTTCTTGTAAAGATCAAAATCTATATGACGCTGGTCCCAACTCCATCTCTCACGACTCAGCACTGGCTCCAAAATGTTAGCAAACAGAAGGTTCTCCTGCCATTTCTAAATGAAAGTTGCATCTCTTTATGCAGTCATATTGCTGGCCACAGCAAGCAGTCACAAAAGTACTTCGGAAATCTTTCCAGGAAGGACAAGGATTAGGTCACATTACTAGGGTAATAGTTTGTAAAGTACCATATGTAAATACAAAGGAGACTCTATTGTCTCTCTGTGGGTTGCCTTTCAAGTTACAATTTTTGATTCATAGAGGAAAAATGTATTTTCTAGGCGAGTTACTGAAATTCTAGTGTGTAATGTTACACTGCCAGTAGCAGTTCCCTAATACCCACCCCCGCACAGAGTAACGTTTGCCACACAGCTCGCAAGGAATAGTCTAATTACAAATTTGTGTCATCTCATCCCCTGTAATGTTAAAAGAATGCGCTCATCACTTTATTCAGATGCGATAACCTAGCAGAGGGGTGGGATCTAGCAGGCTGAGCAGAGGGACACCATGATCTGACAGGAACTCCGTCAGTGACTTACAGCAAATCACTCTATGTCTTTGCCTCAATCTCATGTAAAAATGGGACTAGGAATGTATAGACCCGAGTCCAAAAATTGGCAGGTTCAGCTCTCCCCTCGCATCACAGGAAGGACCACAGACCGAAAGCTGAAAGGTAGAAGGGGTAGGCTAGGAGTGCAGAGTGAAATAGTGGCTCCAGGGCACTCTTCAAAGTGACATGCTTTTAGAAGATGGGGGCAGAGTGTGGCAGCGACAATCAAGATGGAGTTCTAGTCAGGGCTGGAGCAGAGAGGGAAACCAAGGTGAGGAAAGGGCTTTCTCTTCCTCTCCATGACTGAAAAGTGCTACACCTTTGCTTTGGACTTGGGAAAACCTCTTGCACTTGCTGGCCTCTTAACTTGGGCAGGGCACTCTCTGCATCACTTTTGCTGGCTGTTAGCTTGATGCGTGCAGCTCTACACAGAGCTGTAAGTGGACGGGAGTGGGAGAGAGACTGGATTTCTTTTTCCTTTGATTAAAAAAAAAGCTGATTTCTGGGGAAAACACAATTTTGCTGGAAATTTGAGCTTACTATGAATGTAAGTATTTTTAGTATCAAGATGAATGTTTTTAAAGGTAGATCAGCTCCCTTGTCAACTCCAGCTGAAGTGCAGTGACACTGTGCATTCTTAATTAACATTAGTAACATCTGTGAAGCACTTTGAAGAGGGAAACTATTATATGGACAGAGCAAAATAAAGCACTGACCAATGAGAACATAAAAGGACTGATAGTTACATATGGTACAGGGGAGATTATTTACCAGTGAAATCCCAACACAACTATACTGGTGTCTGATTGAAGCAAAGCTATGTTGTATCGGGCTTGATGGTATCTCAGGCATCATTAAGCAGCATTTCAAAGAGCTCCTCAGGTTTTAAGAAAAGTAAAGGGGAGTCCTAGAGACAGCTCAAGGACAAGCAGCAAGAGGCTGCTCCGGTGCTGGAGTACTTGGCTTGCTGGATAATACTCACCACAGCACACAGGGGAAGAGAGACCTCAGTTGATCCAGAAAATGTAGACATCTAATTTACATCAGATGCTGGTGGAAAAAGGACAGGTCCCAGTGGAAGCTGTTGGGTGCTGAGCACTTTGAGAACCTGGCCACTTCGTTTAGTTTAACAGCTTAATGAGAGCTGAGCTTTTTTGAAAATCTGCTTCCAATTGTAAGTGCCGAGCACTCTTCAAAATCTTGCCCTGAGCTCAGCCGTGCTGAGGAAGCAGGTGAGAGGAAGACTGTCTGGGGGAAGTATTCATTATCCTAGCTCTCTTGAAACTGTAACATCCTCAGGGATGGCTCATTCAGATGCAAGACTGAGTCCAATTTTTGTAAATAAATCCAAATACTGTCTTTTTTTTAATTCCCCTGGCTGAAATGTGAGTTGTATTCCTCCAAGAGAGAGAGCTCTTGTCTAAGGTGCAAGTTGAGAAAATTCCTATCCATACAGTCTCACCTGTGCTCTGGAACAAGATGACACTCGAGTGAGCGCAAGAAACAGAAATTAAATCTTTTAGGAAGCCAGATGGTTTAGCTTCCCTGAAGATGACATTCCAAGGTGCCCTGGTTAAATTCAGCTTTTGAGAAGAAAAAAACCAAAGGGATGAATCCACACTAAGTGGTGGAAGTAGCACCATACCGAAACCAGGCTCTCCCGGAGTGGATTCTACTGGCTTTACATCTTCACTCTACTTTTCAGGAGACACGAATAATAAATTCAGCAAGCCACTATCCATCAGCGTGACTCAATACTGAGATAAATGTTGTGCCCTAAGCGGCTGCTATTTGAGTATGGCGAACCGGCTTCCCCTTTTCTTACTGTTGGCACTGTCATGCTGGAGTTAGCGTCACTTATGCTGGGCTGCTCAGCTGCCTTCTCTTCACCCCAGCAGTAGGGCAATACAATGTCCCAGGTGACTCTTGCTCCCACATCGAGCATTGTGTTCTTCTCCCCTTCCTTTTGGTTCACTGGTTCTTGGGCCCATCAGCTGCTGCTTCTGCATTAGGAGCTTTCTTTCAGCTTGGCAGTTTTTGTCCCATGCCGGTCAGCTGCCTTGCTGTTTATTTAATCTCTTCAGTAAGAGGCGCTGACAGCTGCATTGTATTGGATGGCTGCTGTTGCCCCTAATAAGTGGCACTTCTTTGCGCCTCCATGAGAAGGCACATTCTCCAACAGTGCAGATCAGCAGAACACGTGGTGCTCATATTACCGGTTTTATTTCAGAAGCATTGTAATGCAGATGAAAACTTAAAATGGGCATTAACTTTGTTCCACACTTGGTGTGTTCAATTAATTTGTTAGGACCCAACAACCCTACATGAAAATCTCCTTCTATTCCCTTTCTTCCCATCCCACCAAACCCAAATAATGCGCATGCATTTTATTTGACTGCATGCTCACTTTTCATATATACAGTGCTGCAGGCTGGGTAAGACTGTTCAGAACAGGGATGAATGAACTGGTCTAGTTGACAGTCCAGTAAAATGCTAAGGAAAGGGGAAAGTGAAACTATGAAGAGCAGCAAAGAATATGGAAAGAGGGGGCAAGATCAGAGGAATAGGAATGAAGAGGCATAGAGGGGGAGAAAGGGGAAAAAAGAGAAATAAATGACAGGGAAGGGAAACAGGCAAAAGATAAATGTAGAAAAAAGCAAAATGGCAGAGAAAGAGACAATATACAGAAGCTGAAAGACACAGAAGACGGTAAAGGTTAAAAAGAAAGAACAGAATAGGGTCCTGGTCCATGACTAGGTCTCCTAAACAGTACGGTCATACACGTTACAATAATAAATGGAAACACAAAATGAGAGAGAAAAAAGAAAGCCACACAGAGCTATATGGTAAAGGAAACACCTAGGACTTCTTACATTTAGCAACTTTAACAGCTAATAATTTTTCTCCAAAATAATTTCTTGGCAGGCAGCTATTTGCTCACATTGGATAAAAGGAGTTTTAGTTTTGTTTGGCTACACTTTTAAAAGGAGAGTGTGGCACACTCTATGGACTACTGGTGGTTTATCTAATTTAATTAACAAACACATCACCATTCTGATATGAAACCCAGCCCTTTGAAAAAATGTACAAGCACACAGACAAACCCATACATTTTAGCTAGTTGTCTATATTTTATATATATTGTATTTCTAATGAAAGAACTTCTGCAGTTCACAGACAAATGAATTCGGCCAGGTGAAGAGTAGATACAGGACCACTCTGTATCTGGTTTTAAACAAGACTCAAGATATAGGCTCAGACGTTTCAACCAACAGAACTGCAGTATGTTAACAACATTGGTGTCACGCTGGGGGAATAAAAGTATTTTCCCTCTAACCTCAAGCTGTATTTACACAGTGTACTACATCTTCATAAAGCCTGGAGGAACTCTAGAGCAGAACAAAGAACCAAGGCTTGCAAACTCATAGTGAGAGAGACAGATCAAAAATTAATTGAACTCAGAGCAATGGGAGATGCATAGGTCAGAGTACAATTAAACTGAGAGCACGTGAGTAATGGCACCAGCCCTGCCTACACTGGGCTAGCATACTATGATTTTCAGACCCGAGCTTACACTGGTACATGTGCAACTTTGCAGTCACACTAACGTCTGCATGCACAGATGACAAGTTTCATGTGCAAACCCATTTAGACAAATGGGAGGAAAGTGCATGCAAGTGACAGAATCTTAATTGTGCATGCAGATGTTCGTGCACTCTAACTACACAGAAGTAGAGGCTGGGCTGAGCCCTCTCCAAAAAAAACCCCTCAAAACCTGTAAGACAATCTTCCCTTTTCTGAGCCTCCTGTCCTTGTTACTATAAGTTTGATACTAGAAAACAACTTTCTGGGGTTTACTACTTTAAGTTTCTAGATTACCTCAGTTAACTCCTTCAAACGTGTCTCATCAGGCATCCGAGGGTGCAGATTGGATTCAATGCAGCTCTTAAATCCAGGACATACAAACCCACTTGGCGATACCCACAAATTCTTGGATTTTGCAATAGATTCTTTCCGGACAATGTCCAAATCCACAGGATCAAACATGGCTGACAGGTATTCGTGGCAATAAGCGAATCTCCTCTCTGGTTTCTAGGATGACAAATGTTTTATGTTAACATGAGTTCTCCTCTACTGGAGATCACCACAGCCCTGGAAAGTATAAAGTAACATCAACATCTATTGTGTCCGTTCTACTTACATCTAAAAATAACCAGAGATTAACCAAGTAAGACAGTCTGAAAAAACCTGATTAAGTACTTCAAAAATTATTTTCTAATCTTATTTTGCATCCCTATCCTAGCTGTGGATTTAAAGATAATGCAAGTAAAAATTGTGGAATCATTAGAAAGATTTGATGCATTAGTTCCTTATATTTATTTATATGCATCTCCAGGTCCTCAGCTGGTGTAAACTGGCATAGTTCAATTGGGTTCAATATGGCTACTCTGGTTTACACCACTTGAAGATTTGTCCCATATCATACTAGAGATGTTGGTCTCTCCATAGTTAAGATTAAAGTTGGCCTTCCGTTGTAAACCCACTTTTGATACACCCCAACAAACTTTTACAAAACACCATCAATCCACTCTAATTCCATAGGCAAGATTTCATGTCAAGATAGAATTTTTCTGGAAAGACTGAGACCTGGTCTACACTACGAGTTTAGGTTGACTTTAGCAGTGTTAAATCGAATTAAGCCTGGACACGTTCACATGATGAAGCCCTTTCTTTCGACTTAAAGGGCCCTTTAAACCGGTTTCTTTACTCCACCTCCGACGAGGGGATTAGCGATAAAATCGGCCTTAGCGGGTCGGAACTGGGGTAGTGTGGACAGAATTCGATGTTATTGGCCTCTGGGAGCTATCCCACAGTGCTTCGTTGTGACCGCTCTGGACAGCACTCTCAACTCAGATGCATTGACCAGGTAGAAAGGAAAAGCCCCGCAAACGTTTGAATTTCATTTCCTGTTAGCCCAGCATAGAGACCACAGATGACCATGCAGAGCTCATCAGCACAGATAACCATGATGGAGTCCCAAGATCGCAAAAGAGCTCCATCATGGACCATACGGGAGGTACGGGATCTGCTCGCCATA